ATTCAACAAAGACTTTCAAAATCACATAGACAAAAACAGCAGACTGTAGATTTTCTAAAGCTTATTAAAGGGGAACACTAATTTATGGAGGGAGGGAAAAATGAACAGTGGGAGCAGGGTAAAAAGGACAAGGTAAACAGGAAACCCTTACTCAGTAAAGTCATATCCCTAACTAAACACACAATGTGATGAAATAGACACCATTTTCCAACTTCATTTTCCCCTCAGTGAACCACAGAACAGACTTTTTTAAGCACCTTCAGGAACTGGGCTTTGCAGGTCATACTTTGGGAAATCTTAGTGCTGTCCTTTTCCTGCACAAGGTCATGGATTTCTTAAATAACTATCAGCAAATTATAGCTGTGAGTTTGTGATAATATCTTATTGACATCTGCTTTCCCATTTAGTTTTCTCTATGAATTTCCCCTATTTTCAGAATTAGATTTTTTAATTTCAACAAATTGGCATGTTCAAGTACCTAACATTCCATAATGGTTGTGAAAATCCTAGTTAAAAAAAATGACAGGGCCCTCCCTGGTGGTGAGGCAGGTAACACAGCACTAAGAAGCTAATGCCACTTCACTAAGAAGCTAATGCCACTTCATCACTAGTTGGATCCCAGGCCCCAGAGGTGACCCACATGGCACAGCAGACCTGCCCTGCCCACTGCTCCCCTCAGCATTGTACTTCGTCAGTAGGCCTGTTCTGCTCCCCACTCTGTCTCTGGTGAATTCTCTCACGGCCCCTGCACCTCTGGCCTATATCCCAGTTTTATATGCATAAATAAATAAATCTTAAAAACAAAAGAGAGACAAAATACTAACTCAAAATAAAGTTCAAATTTGAGTACTTCTTTAACCATTTTTCAAATGCAACTTTTAAAAGTAGTCACCCCACATAACCAGTCCTTTGGTGTAGAATTCTCCCTGAAGTACTTATCTAAATCATTATAAATTTAAAGAAGCAAGTGGAAAGTGGTGAGTCACCTCTTTTTGGGAGAAATGGATGGAAAAGAAAAATAATAAGATAATAGGAAAAGTCACACAATTCATTCATATAGAAAAAGAATGTTACTGAAATTGGTAATTCTCTACAATTCCAAAGTAATTAATTATGTTCCTCCTCTCAAAGTTTCAAATAATCTCAAAAAATTATTTGCCTAGCCAGTCATCCAAAAGGAATTAAAAAGTGCTGAGATGAAATGCGCAAAATGTTGTAAAAATAAACTATTATTTAAAAAAAATAAAAAGAAAGTTTAAAAAAAACTGTAATAAAATTCAAAATCCATTCACATTAAAAAAATAACTCTAGTAAAAAAATGCTGAGATAAAAACAAAATGTTTTTTAGCTATTTAAAAATTATATGAAAATAAAGTTCATTCTATGAAAAAATGAGAACCAAATGATTTACTTGGAAATATATTATGACACTTTGGTTAACATGTATAAAAAACAGCCCTAAGATGCACTGTACTTTAGTCTTCTACACAAATTATCTCAAACATAGTTTCTCTCAAACTTAAACAACAGCAACAAAAGTACACACAAGGGAATGTGTTAATTTTCTGTCATTTTCAAATTAAATTATATGATTTCAATTAATCATCTTATTAATGAATCATCTTAATAAGATGATTTCTCAATGTTATGTCCGCTAGGCTATTTTTTTTTTTAAAGATTTATTTATTTATTCATACAGAACTGGGGTACAGGCCAGAGATGCGGAGGGTGAGAGGATTCACAGAGACAGAGTGGGGAGCAGAACAGGCCAACTAATGAAGTTACACTGCTGAGAGGAGCACTGGGTGGGGGGGAGTTTCAGGAGAGGTCTGCCATGCCATGTGGATCTCCTCCGGGACAGGTGGGGATGGAACTCATTCGGAAGTGACTTAAGCTTCTTAGTGCTGTGCTTTAACCCACTTTGCCAACAGGGAGGGCCCCACTAGGCTATTTACGTAATGTTGTTACCTAAGGAGAATGTAACTTTCCTTGCATCGAATTTATTTACAGGACACTTTTAAACTCATTTAATTTTCCTTTTCCCAGTTTTCAGAAGTTTCCAACTTTTCAGAATTTTTAATTTCTTCTATAATCTCCTTAGAATTGCACAAATAATTCTGATTTTTGGTCACAAGAACCCACATTTGCAAAAGTGGACTAATTTCACTTGAATAGACAAGTTACTATGTTTTAAACAAAGTACATACCATTATAACTGACTAGTTGATATTAGGGAAAAAAATGGTTTAAATTTATCCAAAAATGACATTATATGATGTAGTAAATAAATTTTCTATGAGTAATAAAAACTTGAAGAATGTTCAACAAAGTGTAAAAACTAGTATTAGTTTTAGTTTCTCTTGACCATCTATGAAATAGTTTTAAATTCATCTCACTGATTATGCTAAGGTTTGACGCTGTCAAAAAAAGGACTTGCGAATTCTAATATTCCTTCTGCCTCTAAATGTCTGGATTCCTTTAGATATAAAATGCAGTTTAAGTCTTAAATTTTGCATATTACATTGACAGCACCTACACATACACACTAACATACTACAATGACATTTCTATTAAAGAAAACTTTCAGAGAAAAAAAGACCCCTGCATTTTCTTGACTATGGGAAAGTAATTCGTAAATCTCTTCTAAAAGTAAGTATCAAATTTTCTTTCAGAAGTTATTAAGGAGGTTCTTCATACATAGTTGCACTTCTTAGAATGAAGAAAAGAATTACTTGCATATTTACATAAACATGTATATTCAAAGATCTATTTTGTAATACAAGATATATATCAGTAACATGCAGTCCAAACTACGTCCAAACTACGTCCAAACCTGAATTCTTGATTTCCACTTTCAATCCTGATCTACTTAGTCTACTTTTTATTTTAGAAGTTGGCCTCAGTTGGTCATATATCAAGATATTTACTTATATTTCACAATCAATCTATAAGAAAGTCTTCTTCTTCCTCTAAAGTACACTGAAAATCAGTTACTCTCCTAAATCTCTACTGCTACCAGTAGTGTCTTAATCACCTTTATTTCTCACCTGGACTATAATGAAAGCCTCCTGGGTGATTTTCCTCCCATTTATTCTTGTCTTCAGAAGCCAAAATGATCATTTTAAATCATAAGATTATGCACTTTCCTCCCGGTGTAAACATCTCGCCACTTCCTGTCGCACTTAGAGGAAAATCTGAATACCCCATAGAGGCATCTTCCTGCGTTTCCAAGTTCAGTTCATGCCTCTTCCTCCATTGCTTTGATCATAGTAATCAAACTTAACCTAAAACCTACCAGGTTCTTTCCTGCACTAAGGTCCTTAATGTTTTTCTCCACCCTGAAATCTTCTTTCAAACCTGGCTCCTCATTATCCAGTTATAATATAATGTGCCCCACTTGCATTTTTTAATTTGCATTTTTTCCTTTTGTGAATTTTGACATCACACTTTTTGTCTCCTTTATACACTCAATTTAATCTTCAAATATCTTATGTATTTATTTATTCAGATGGCACGAAACTGTTTCACCACTCTTATTATCACCTATAGTGAACATTCAATAAACATTCATTGTGTAAATGACAATAAGTTAAGAACCTAAATTTTTGCTTTCATGTGCAGCAGAAAAGCTATTGCTTAAAGGATGAGCCTTTAGAGTTAAAAACTTTATAGATATCACCAGTTTCTCTAGATTCAACACAGAGAATATCAGCTGAGTTTTACAAATAATATTTTTGGCTGTCATGGAAACAGTATCATGTTTCTTGTGTGACAGACTAAAATTTAGACTTTTCCCTTACTGTGAACATTTCAAAGATCATATCTACAGCTTATGCCTATTCTACAAAATGTGACTTGTTCTTAAAGCTATCCTCGGTGAAATCATGGAAACGTGGCCTTATTCAATGTTGCCTAAGTCTGGATAGTGTACTAGCATTAGAATCTACACAAATGCTCTTTCTACTAGTAATATATTCTCCTCATCTCATTCATTACAAACTGACCATTTTTTTAAAAACTTCCTCTATTAGCCAATATGCTTGCATATTCCATTTCATTTCCCAAATGAAGTTTGTTTACCTAATAAAAGTACTTCTAAAACCATGCTGTATAGTATATAGTTGTTCTTAAAAATATATTCTTACTTGTTGACCTATAATTGGGAATTAAACCTGGTATCTGTTCAAATTTTAATATTAACTTTCAAAATCAACACAAATATAACAATATTAACTTTTAAGAAAAAAATATTTATAGTGCAACAGTCCCAATTCTAATTTTTCTTTTCTTCCTTTGCCTAACCCCTGAAAGCTTCTGATTCTGTTGTCCTCTGGTTTTATGGCTATCAAAAGTTCCAGGAAGGATAATAAAATGTTAAGGTCTACTTTAATTAGCACATTCCTCTAGTTCTACCAGAGCTGTTTCCTCATTAAAATTGATTCTCTAAGAAAAAAAAAATAGAATTATAAATAATCAAATTTCCTTTTTGAGTCTTCGAATAATGTACTTCATCTAAATGGAGAAGCACATTAGATAAATCACTAATTTCTGAGTCTCTGAACTGTACTTCTAAGTAGAACTACGTTTAGTTGTTAGACAAAGCTTCCTCCTAAATTTTTCACCTCTGTCACAAATCAGGAATAAATATGTCCAGGGTGCAGAGCTGTAAAAACAGCAAATACAACCACAGAGGAAAAACTATAGATCTTAGAACACCAATGAGGTCACAACACCTGCAAAGGAAAACAGGTCATTGGATTTGGAGGGCTCTCAGTAACATGGGCATTGAGTATCGGTGGATTAAAACCACTGAAGTGATGAACAACACACAATCTGTCTCAGTAATCTCTTACTTTACACAATCCACATAGCAAAATAAGAGCAATGAAAGACATGTAAGCTCCCACCTGGTTACCTGCATAGAGATTTGCAATACAGAACAATCTAATTAGTTTCACACTACTTCTTCAATTAAAGACAACAACACAACAGAAACTTACCTTCAAAAAGGGAGCCCAGTTGATATCTTCCACTAAAAAAATTTGGCAGCGAAAATACAAGTGCTCCCAGTCCTATCATAAAGGATGCAAATGCAAGCCATCTTGGTTTGTGTCCTCTTTCACCAACAAATGAAACAAATAAAGATAACACACAAAATGATATGTCATAGCTTGATGATATTAGGCCTGTCAGGGAACTCTTCATTTCATAGCGCTTTTCGATGGTGGAAATGCTAATATTTACCAGGCCATTGACTACCACACCTAAAGAGAAGAGAAAAGAAAAAAAATACATGTATATTATTACAACTTTGCGATCTAGATTATGATTATTAATACAATGTACCAAAGTTTGTTCATTTCTTTTGATATTTTCAAGTGTACCAAATTTAAAGTCTCAAAGTTTCAAAGCTAGGCACTTCACCTTCTTACAAGTAAGTTTACTTTTAAATTGTAAAGGTGAGAATATTGAGGCATTAAAACTGATGCTTATCTCTTACTAAACTTATAGTTAATTTCATTTTTCTTCAAGTGACAATTAAAAAGCCAGACTAGTAAAGTCTCATGAAGCTATTTTGCTAATGTCCAAATGTATAATATCATTCTCCCATCGACCTCACTGGGAAAAACTGCAAATAGTACATGACGTAAGAGTAATGTTCAGTGTTTCCCAGGTTACTCAATCCTTAGATAAAAAGAGAAGTTCTTGACTAATTCTTTAAAAAGGTGAAATTGAGCACGCAAGCTTCTTTTTGAGGTAGACATTAAAGTTATTTAAAATGTCCTAGAGCAAAACTAAACATGAACAGTCTTTCTTCTATCACTGACATTCCAAATAATGTGCAAAGTAAGAAAAAGAAAACTGACACTTCTGTTTATTGTAACTAGGGTAGAGGAAAGAAGATAAATAAGGAAAAGTACAAATCCAATTTCGACAGACTTAACAAACATGACCTGTCCAGGTACTGATTAAATTTACAGCAGTTTAAACATCACTATAAATTCAAAGTAATTAAGCATAATCAAATTATAAAATTTTGTTGAACTAGTTAGACCTCTTACTGAAGTGGATACCACAAATTCTTTTCATTCATCCATGCATTAGTAGAGTGCAATCACTTCAGATTTGCTATATCTAGACTGATAACAGGTTTCAAATGTCCTATAATAACTTTTACTTTTTTGGTTGTGTAATACATAAACCAATTTTTAGCACGTGAGATTTGAAGATGAAGAATCCAAAGTGCCTAGGAATGATATATGTATACTAGAAGAAAAAGTTATCTGAAACTATGTTCCGTGCAAAAATTAACTTTCCAACACGTCTGTCATACTGATTAAGCCAGGCATTAGAACAGATAGCCTTGATGATAAAACTTGATGAAAAAGAAAAAAAAAATCATTTGTAAACTCTTATAAAGAATAGCATTTTAAGCCTTTGAATCCCAACCTATAAGCTATGCTATGCAATTCCAAGAAAGGTGCTTAAAAAAAAATTCCATGAAAGACTGCATACTCTGAATATTGTAAATCATCAGAATAGAAGGAAATTAAGGATTAAAAGAAATCCTGTTTATCTTTGAAAAATGCTGTATTAAGTGAATTCACTTGGAAGGTTTTTGTGCCCCCCCACCCCCACTAAACACCTATTTATCTATCATGACTATGATCTTATCTAAGTATCATTTTTGAGAAACACAATCATGTTTTCAGTCATCCAATGTTAAACTGAGACAGAAATTAATGTAGTAGGCCATTTTTACCTCAGGTTATGATTTTTAAATTGGGGATCTCTGCATAGATGCAACTCCACACTAAACCAGACAAATTTTTCTGTGTGTCAATTATATTTGACATTTTAAAAAATTTATACAAAATATAAAATGATGCATTCTGGAATAATATGGACAGTTCCTAATATATTTTAAGGTAACAATGCAAGACAAGAATTACTTGGGTCCCAACTTCTTTAACCTAGTATTCCTTTCGCTCTTCTCACTGACTTCACACAACTCAGACATTGAGAGTCGATGAACTTTGGTGGGGACAGAAAAGCTAACTCCAGCATAAACTACTGTATCTTCCTGGAAGAGTTGCATTTGCCTGGCAATTAAACACTTACTTAGCACCTAATATGTGCAAAGCAAGGGACACCGACTTTAAGACAGAGGCCCTGAATGAGAACAAAAGGGATATATCTACATTCAGTCTTTTCTTAATCTTAAAAAAAAAAAAAGGCAGTTTCTAACTCTTACCTCCCACCTCCCCCAAAATATTTCTTGGATGACATTTCTTTGAATCAGTTTTCGATTGTATCTTTACAAAATACATCAAAGGCATCATTCAAATGACCAAAAAAAAAAAAATCCCATCAAATTCTAATTAACTTTCAGCACGTCCTTTCAGATGCTCCACCTTAACTGCCCTCCCCCCTCCTAGGTCACCTTAGAGTAACTTTCCATTTCTTTCACTCCCTGTAGATGAAACTAGCTCCTTGCCTCATTCTCCTCTCATCCACTACCAGTCACTCCTCCAAACCTGTCTTCGACAGCAAAGTCCTGAGGGGATAAGCCTAGACTTTCTTATCAGAAAGTCCCCAGGGTACCCAAAAGAAGTCCTAGAACAAAACACGTTTTGCACAACTCTTTTGTGTTTGAAAGGTCTCAGCCTTCCACGGTGACAGAAGCCATGGTCAACTCCTCGGTAGCCCCACTCAGCGCCCACAAACACCTCAAGCTAGACTCACAAAACACGAATGCTTTTACAGGTAATTCCACTTTTCTAGACGACATAAGAAAAATATATGTTTGCATTTCCAAAAGCTTACCCTAGGAGAGCGACCCCGCCCTCATCTGCAAATTAATCCTTCCAGAAACGAAGTTAAAAATCCCTTCAGGGCAGATTTGGCCAAAAGTATGCTTCGGTGAGGCAGAATGGATTCCCCACAGGCAAAATGCAACCCCCCTCCCGACCCCCGCCGCCACCTCCCC